CTCTCTCTGATCCTACTCATTGCCTTGCCCATCAGTTCTGCTTCATTATTGACTAAGCAAATGAAGCATTTTTTGTTGCTTGGAAAGCTTTCAACTTATTCTCCTGAGCCTTGGATACCCCCATCAAGCTCAGATGACCTTAGAAAATCTCAGAATTTGGAAAACGGTTCTTTTGAAATCTTAGAAGACCTTGGGAAACTCTGCTTAAGTTTTTGTGTTTTTTTTTTTTTTGGGGGGGGGGCTCTTACTAACATTTAATCACTTATACACTTCAGTTTCTTTAGGAAGGAAAAAAAAACTGAACTGATGAAATTACTAAAACATGGATTAATAATATCATAATAATGTTTAGGACCTATGAATCTATCATTTATAATATTAAGGTTAAGGGTAATAATTCCTTATTATTGTGCATTAGAAACTTGCAAAAATGCAATCGCTAGGCCCACAGCAAAAGTTCAGTAAATTGAGTAGAATAGCAGGAAATCTGCACTCAACTAGAATCCCAGGGAACAGTTAGGAGTTAGGAAATATGCCCAAGTTTGGACAGTTCCTAACTCCAGCAAGATTTAAGCCCAAGTCAAGGGTGGAGAGTTACCTTCTGTCTTTCCTTTTTGTAGAGTGAATGGCATTTTGTAGGTTGGGAAGGACTAAGACTTTCCCAAGGGATTCCTGTAAGTGAGTCCCCTAGGCACCCATCAGGGGCACTTACTTCTCCACACTCCTCTGTCTGTCTGTACCTTTAACATTCTGATCCCGATGCTGAAAGTTAGCTTCTGCCCTGGTTCCCTACTGTACAGCCACAAGTCTTCAGGGTCACCCCTTGTTAATATCCCCTTTGATATCCTGTAGCATATGCAGCCATACTTTATTGCTGCGATCCAATAAATGAGTGGAATTGAGTTCTTTATGTAATCTAAGAGAAAGAGATTGAATATTTATTGAGAAAGAGAAAGAAACACTAAGTGCCACCTACACATACATAGTTGGCAACATAAGAGTAGAGTAATATCTAGCTCTTACAGACTCAGTACAGCTTACAAAAAAAAAGTAAGGAACTTTCAAACAATACCTTATTTAATTCTCACAAAAATACTTTGAGCTATTATTATCCCTATTTTGCAGATGAAAACAAAATTGATGCTCAGAGAGGTTATAAACTAACATACGATCATGTAGCCAGTTAATGGGAATGTTAGAATTTAAACCCAGGTACCTTACTTCAGAGCTCATCCTTTTTATGCATATTGATTTCTGTTCTGAGTGTAAATCCCAGTATTCACCTAGCATTTTATATCCATAATCTCAGAGGTTGAAATTATCTTCTGTAGTTGTTTACATCTTTTTGGCCACCATTTACAGCTTTCACACATCTCTAGGTGCTGTTTATAAGGGCTTTCTTTACAGTTCTCCTTATTAATAATAGACACACAAAATGTGCTTACCATTGCAACTCTCATGGGGCTTCCCCACATATTTGACTGTCTTACCCATACATTCAAAATAGGCACATGCACATTTGTAAACACATTCCTTCCACTTCTGTTTCCTCTCCACTTCCTCTAATTGAGGAACCAGCCAGTCTTCAGCTGAGGCATTAGTTCCTATGCCCTCTCCCAGGCTCCTTGTTCATGACAAAGCTGCACCTCACACAAGACATCTTTGGCTCTCCCAAGGTACTGACTCTACCTCATCCCAAGAAAGCTTTCCTAAGAACTTCTTTAGGCCTTCTAAATAAATGACCCATGTGGCAGACACCCCTTAAAAAGTCTTGGGCTGGCTGCCATTTGACATGTGCCAAGGCAGGGCTGAGGTCTGTGGTATTAGAGAATCAAATGGACTTAGTCATCATCTGCCCATCTGGTGTCTTCATCTGCATATCAGGTGAGATGTCAAGGAAGCAGGACCTCACACCATAGTAACTTTGCACTTCAGAAGAAATGTCTTTCACTAAGTCACATTTCAACACTTTGGCTCTGGTGTTAGTGGTGAGGGATTGTTGGAAGTGACTATGAGAGAACTGTGCTTGCTTCTCTCCTTTTGATACTGAATACCTCCCATATTATGATCCATGTACTAAATCTCTTCTAGAATTTCTTCCCAGGAATAATTTTATCTCCTTTCGAGGATAGCTATGTTTTATTCATAAAAAAAAAAAACTATGTCACACATCATGTGTCCCTTTTTGCCATAGCAGCTAACAAGCTCAAAAGTTAAATTTAGTGCTCAATTACATTGATTATCTCATTCTCAGTTTCTGAAGAAGAAAAAGGGATCTGCTCTTCTTCATTATGATTTCTGAACTCTGGAGTTACTAGAAATTTAAAGAAGGATCCATGATATGTTCTTGCTTGAATACCAATGCTTTGTAGAGGTTTTAAGGGATACCTGCTATAATTGAAGAAGTGAAACCCAAGTGTATCACCCCCCCATCTCTTGTGTGTTCATATGAATCGAAAAGGATATCGAAACCAAGTACATTACTAACATTATTATACAAAGCACTGGTGTCCCTAATAAATAGAAATAGGGGAATGGGACTTTTATACAAAATCAGATTCCAGCACTATCCCCATCACAAGTTACCACTCTACTAATGATCAGAGAGAAGAAGCCAGAAAAAGACAGCCTCCTAGACAGGCTCTGGGAGAGTGCTTTAAGGTGTGGCCCAGTTGGATTCTGTAATGACCAACAGGAAAGTGCTGTTGAGGCCAGGCCAGTATAGGAGAAAGAAAGAGAAAACCATCACAACTAGTGACCTTCTTCCAGGACCACTGCATGCCAGGGTGCAGGTTGCTCATGTGAGATGTTCAGCTGAGGGGGCTAAGAACCAGTCTGGAATTCTGTCCACACTTTACTTTTGGATAATTATTTCTCCCAGGTGGGGTACCTTTTTGTAATTAATACAGTGACTCCATATGACCTACAGGGATGCTACTTTTACCCCAGTCTCATGCAAGTAACTCCACTGATAGGGAAGGATACATGTGGCTAGGAGTTTGGGAGCCTGGAGTGAGTGACTAAATGTTGTTTCAGCACTCCTTCTCTTAGGGCATGTAGCAAATGTTCCCTCTCTTTCAATGTGTGAGGAACCAAGGCAGTAAATATTGTCCGTCCATAGCTGTGTATTTTGACAGCAGATAGAACATTAAGAAACAGAGTGGTGTCTCAAAAGAAAAGCATCGTTGACTTGCCACTAGTTTGCTCACCCAGAAAATTCTAAATTAGCTCTTACTGTGTGTCCAGCGCAGCAGTAGGCATTGGCCATAGTGGAGTGAATAAGACAGCAACGTTTGTCCAAACAACTAGCTTCCGGTTTCCATTCTTCACATCCTCTTAGACAAACTGCTTCCTCACCTGTACAGCAAAGCTCTGTAATGTTTGCATTGTTCACGTTTTCTCCTACTTCCTGCATTCATTCCGTATGTTTTTGTCTCCAGGGAGCTATCTGAAAGATATTCATTCACAGCTATTCACTTGGGAAGATACATCCCTAGAATTCCTGTCTGCTCTCTCATTCCAGCTTCCTATCTTCCTGTCTGTTCAAAGCCAAAATTTTTATCTGGTTTCCCAGTATGTGCCATAAAAAATTATCAGCAGGTAACTGTACTGAATGTAAGAATCTCCTTACTGAACGACTGAGGGAGGACAAGGTAAGCAGGGTGAGCAGGGGTGAGCCCGGGAAGAAGTACACCAGACAGTGAAAGTCTCTTGTAGTGTAAAAGGAGGGCATTGGAGAGAATTTTGAACAGGGAGTAACATAGTCAGGTTTGCTCTTGAGACAGTAACTCTGCCTCCATTGTAGAGAGGAACACAATTAGAAACAGGGACATTTGCTCAGGGCCTCTATCACCAATTAGGAAGGGCATAATGGTGGTCTGAATTAAAGAAGCAAATGGCAGTGAGGGCAAAAAAGGAGACAGATTCAGAAAGATTTGGAAGATAACTATGCAAAGATGTGGAGATGAGTAAATATGGGAAAGAAGGAAGAAATCAAGGAAGAGGGCTCCCAGGTTTCTAGTTTGAGCTGCTAAACACTAATCTTGCCCTGCAATAGGCCCATCCTGGGTGGGGTGCAATCTGTACAAAGTAATTAAACGATGCCAAAGAAGAGGAAGGACAGGGACCAAGGCAGGCCACTTAGCATCCCTGTTTTGATACCAACTAAATGACATACTTGGTTGAGCTCAGAGCCATACACAGTGTAAGACCTGAATAAATGCATTCTATGTAAATTAATTAAAGCTGTGAAAATCTAAAGTAAACTCCAATATCGATGCCCACAAACTTTAGGCTTAAAGAAAACATTAGCCTTCACCTTCCAGAAACTCCCCGAGAGAGCACCTTAAAGACTGGGAGATGTGTAAGCAGGACTGTGAATACTCTTGACAGCATCCAAATGCAGTCCTGTTCAGTTCTGGAATCTCTCAGGGATTGACATACTCCATATAAGCGTATAAGCATATGGTTCTGATCGACTTTAATGGGATTCCCTTGCAAACCGCGGATTCTAAATTATCCCCTAGCAGGTATAACATTTATAGGAGACATATTATTTTACCCCAAATACCCCTTGGGCACTGTTATACTGAATTTGGACAGTAGCAGAGCTCAGAGTGAGTTCATCTTATACTAGAACATGCTAGTAATACATGTTCATTTTTTTAAGCCACAGAAAATAGATATTTTTAAGAAAAGAGCATTTTCAAAATAAAAATATTTAATTCCATGCTAAAAATTAAGTATCTTCTTATAGTATTTTGTTTTTTTTTTTTGTTTAATCCAATTGAAAGTTGTTTCCTTTTGGGAAGAAAGGAGTAGTTTTTCCCAGGTCTGGAGATTAAATGGTTTAGTAGGCATTTCACGTTCTGCTTACAAAAAGGGGATTTGCATATGAACTTGTTTCAGCAAAAAATAGATCTGAACGTGTTTCATGGGAACTGTCTCTATCCATGGCTTCTCCTTTTGGTCATCTCCTTTTCTTTTCTTCATGTCTACAGGTCACCGGATTGAAACTGTCTCAGGACCTTGATGATCTTGCCATTCTGTACCTGGCCACAGTTCAAGCCATTGCTGTAAGACAATTAAATGCCATTTTTAAAGAGACTTAGAGCTATCAATATACTCTAGGCCACATACTCCCCAAGATACATCATATGCTTTTGTGACAGAGACTCTTAATTAAAAAGGAGCTTGCCAAAAAAGAGATGCTTATCTGTCTGGAAGGAAATGTTGATGAAGGTCCTCACCTTCTTTAACTAATAACCCCACATAAGTGAAAGCCGAAAAGAGTTAAGATCTTTGAACATCATACTTGTCATTTATCTAATTTGTCTTCTAAATTCAATGAGAGAAGCATGCAAGTAATTTCCATGTATGCTTACATTAAGAAAAGTTGGTTTTAAGGAAAAAAAAATATATATATATATATATTTTTAAGAGCGATTTTTGCCATAGGGTACATATGCTCCCTGTAGAAACAGGAAGAGACCTAGAGACAGAAAGTGAGAAATCATCCCCTGGGGGGATGGTCACACACAATTTCTTCTCTTCCATTCTCCTCTTAGGATTTTTGGACATGCATGCACACGTGCCCAGTGTGAGTTTTAAGATGCTGGGTCCTGGACTTGAACTATAGTCGACTATGTGGGGGGTCAAGTGATGTAATTAGTATGTCATCTGCTGATCCTGAAAGTCCGTATCTCTTAAAAAACTTGGTATCGTTCATTTTGCCAAAGGATTCATTATAGGATTCCTTTACATAGTAAGCTTTTTTAGAACTTGAAAGTGTTTGTTTCTAGATAATTAGCTGCTTTTTATTTTTTAAAGGTTAAAATAATTAGAGAGGGAAGAGAGAATTTACATCTAAAATGTTAGAAAAGCCTAAATTAAATATCAATCTGAAATGAAAACATAGTCCTAGAAGTACAAACATTATCTAAGGAATCGTCTTATCTAGAAATGGACCATAGTGGGCTACGGATAGTTCTAAACCCTAAAATCACACACTAAGGGTTGTATGTGTGTGTATTTGAGAGTACAGTTTGAGGGAGTGGGGTCATGACTTTCAGGGTCTCAGAACAATAGCAGTTACCCTCAGAATTTGTTTTTTAGTAACATATTTAAAGAAATGTGTTCTACTTAATAATGTAATATATACATATATGAGAGTCAATTATTCTTTTCTCCACATAACTTTTTATAGCCTTATTATAAACAATAGAATTATATCCATATTTATTCATATCACCAAAAGAAATGCTTTTTTAAAATAATTATTTAATTTTATTTACTATTATTACTATTCTTTTCATTTGCTTTAGGTCATATGTACTCACCAGAGAGAGAGAGAAAGTGAGAAAACAAGCCACCAGGTCCAGGACTCATACCACAGTCAGCCATATGGAAATGCTTTTTTAATGCTCAGATTTGTCTAGGTGCCATGTATATATAACAGAAAACAGGACTTCTCAACTGCTAAAGGAATATACCTTCATTAATGTAACTGCATAGTAATATGGAATCAGACAACTCAATTAAACAGTCTTTTTAGATTATAGACCAGTTTGACTGGTCTTCCAAATTTGCTTCCTAAAGCAACTTTCCTATTGACTTAATAGCTTGGCCCATTCAGTGAAATCAATCAGATCGCTTTATGCATGGAAATCTTGTCTAAAACAGACAGTTCTGACTTCTGAAACAGAGGAAATGAGCAGTAAGATGAAAATGAAGAACAAAAGTGTGTGGTGGTAGTAAAGACATTTATTGATCCTGCTTTACAGTAATTCTGATGATAGTGATAGAGTTTGAGTATATTTAGTATGTATTAGGCACTACACTAAATGCTTCACACCCATTATCTGACTTTACGAGGTAGGTACTGTTATGCCCATTCCACAGATTAGAAAACAAAGCCTCAGGTAGAGTTGGGGTTTGAGCCCTTGGTTTTCTAAGGTAAAACTACCTAACTATATGTAACTATGCGCACACACACACACACACACACACACACATATATATGCATGCATACATGTATATGTATTCTGCTTGCTTGTTCTATTTCTTGAATATAGAAGACAAATTAGATAAATGACAAGTATAATGTTCAAAGACTGACTCCTTTTGACTTTCTGAATTTTACACACACACGTGTTATCTATTTGTTTATGCATACATATATAGTATTAAGGAATTTTGTATTTGTCATTATATAGAAAGTCTTATAGTGGAATAAACCACTTGTATTAAAATGAATAATCTTAAAAAGTAGAAGCTGTGCGATATTCACCCTCTGGGCACAAGCTAAGGAGTGACCATGAGCAACAAGGCAGTCAGGGAAACATTTTTTCCAGAAAGGATGGGCCTTGGATACCATCGCATAAAGGTAGTGACGGTTTCTTTTCACCGTACACCACACAGGGTGCTTTACCTGCCTGGAGCTTAAGACAGTATCCCTGTAAGTAGATGGGATTGTCCTCATCTTGTGGAGAGGGGGAGGCCATTTGCTAAAGTCAAATAGCAAGTACACAGTGGTCTCAATTTGAACCTCTGTCCCTCCCACTTTCAGGCTCCTGCTCTTTCCACTTTACTACATGCCTTTATTTTATAAATAAATAAATAAATAAATAAATAAATAATCAATAAAGCTATCTACTTATAAAAGCTATGGATTAAATAAGCTTTCAGACATTCCCAAGAACAGTTTTTACTTAACACATTTTAGGAAGATACCAAAAATTCAGCCTAGGATTGTCTCACAGAAGCCCCTTTTCTGGTAATACCTCTGCAGCAGAAGTTCAGGAATGTCTAAATGAGGTTAAAACTTAATGCAGGCTGCAGGCCGGGAAGAGGCGGCAATGAGCCAGCTACATTTTCCCAAGTACCACACACTTGGAAAATCAATCTTGTATTTAATGGATAGTACATGAATTAACAGCGATCATATTTATTCCGTCCATTGTCCTCATGCCTTTATGTTACTATAAAGGAAAGACATTTTAAGACAGAGATTTTTTGATAAGACTTCATTATGGAGTGAGTTGAATTGTGAGGCATTCAATCTGTTTTGCAAAATATCTGGGTGTCCTGATCTTTTAGGCAAGCATGTGCATTTTAATAAAGTACTCTGATAACAAGTATTTTCTCATAATGTTCAATTTAGAGAAAAAATTTATTTCATTGACCCCCAATATTACTCTAGTACCTATTTCTTATTGGTAAGTTAAATGAATTACTCTCTTTAGTAATATCTCTGGTAGAGGTTTTGTAGGAATGTAATGAAATTAAAAAGAGATTGTAATGAAATTAACTCGAGACTATGCAAAACCCTTCATGAAGTAAAATTCTCTCTTGATCACGCTTAATTGAAAGACCTGTCAGCCACCCACTTTATCCATAGCCTGTTCATCTATAGTTTTCTTTTCAGAATAGACCCTTAAAAAGTACTATTTGCATTTGAAGTCTCTTGATTTGCATTTAGTTCTGTACATTCTCAGTGGAACAACCCAATTTTAATTTAAATTTGTCTGTGAAAACATTTTTTCCAGAAAGGTGAGCACAGAATCATTTTCACACAAAGCACCAATGTAGGGCATTTCAGGAGGGTGGAGTGTTCACAGAGCAGAGTCCTGGGTACCAAAGGGGAAGGCCCTGGAAGGAACCGCCAGCCAGAGTGGGAAATTCCAGACAACAATGCCACAGGGAACAGAGAGGCTGTCCCAGTCCTTCTTGAGGGAGTGCCTCTTGTTCAGACCAATCCTCTCCTTGTCCCAGGAAATGTGCTTTGTGTTACCTTCTCAGGCTCCAGGTCCCTGGTTTTAGAAATACCAGTTTTTTGTGGAATTTCCATGCAAATTGGGAGGCCCTTCCTGGCCTCCAGATTGAATTGCCTCAAGCAATTTCTCTCCTAAATGGGGATAACAATGTGCAGTTTCTGAGTTTAAAATCAGAGCTGACATTAATGTGCATGGCCGAGTGTCTCCCCACAGTTAATGAGCAGGATAGCTCTCATTTGTGAAGGCCTTTTATATGCTAGACACTCTTACTTTCATATACTGCCCACAGCAGCAGCCTCATAAGGTAATTGTTACTGTATTTCATTAAGTCTAAGATCACATTTTTAAATTTTTTTGAGTTTTTTTTTTTTTTCTATAGGGTATGTGCGCTCACCAGAAAGACAGAGAGACAGAGAGACAGAAAGGGAGAAATCACCCCCTGCCCAGGGGGAATGGCCACACCACAGTCCCTTCTCCTCCATTCTCCTCTCGGGATCTTGGGCACACAGGCACACGCGCCCGGCATGAGTTTAAGCCACCAGGTCCGGGACTCGAACTGTGGTTGACTACATGGGAGTCCAGGACATAGCTATTACTCCAAGTGTTGGTCCCTTTAAATATTTTTGTAAGTTAACATTTCTTACAGTCCACAGAATTTTGAACTGAATGGATGTGATTTTTTTTTTTAAGAATTATTTTATTTAACTTTATTTATTTTAATTTGACCAGAAAGGGACAGAGCGAGAGAGAGAGTGAGATAGAGAAAGAGAGGGAAAGCAAGAAAGCAAGCTGCCAGGTTTGGGACTCGAACCATGGTTGGCCATGTGGGAGTCCAGCACCCTCATCCACCATGTCACCCGCTTCTCCCAAGGATATAATATTATCATTCCCTTTCAAAAATTAAGAATTAGAGAGTCTATGTACAAGAAATAGGTGAAATGCCTGGATGACCTTAGGTTTTTGGTGGTTTTTGTTTTTGTTTTTTAAGTCACAACTCAGGCCCCAACTATTATCATCCTGGAGTATTATACTAGTTGCCTGAGACCCACTGGCTTGAAATGACCTCTGGGACTTAAGGTTGACCTCTAGAAATTATACTGTTTTGTTTGTGATTTGGGGGTGGAGATATCAATAGGTTTTATCGTTCTCTCAAGAGGGTTCATGACCCTCCCCCAGTACAAAAAAAGTTTACAAAAGAACATCTGGGGGTAATCAGCCATTGTCAGTAAGCAGGATCTTACAGTACAACATGTTTTAATTTTTTTAAACACATTACATCTGTGGGTGATTTTTAGCGGCCCAAGCTTTGCCTAATTCATATTTTTCCCAGATTCACGAATAGCTTCAGCATATCTTGAAGATCTCAAGTCTGGAACGTCTGTGCCCTTTGCTCCTGTACTGCCCCATCCATCATCATGTACTCCCAGTCAATTGGATTCCTATCCTGTGGTCCCCAGATCACCCACTGACCACTCCCTCTCTCAGGAGAGACAGCTCACTAGAGAGCCCTGCCAGAGGAGGTGTCACTTGCCCTGCCTCCCACCTTCTCTGGGTCTGGGGTCAGAACAACCTCCTGTTGCCCTCCTAAATCCTATCCCTTACCTTGACCAGAATTCTCTTCCTTCTTGCCTTCAAGCTGTACTTCTCTCCTCTGTGCACTCAGGTACTGACTTCCCAGCAACAGTCACACTTTCACTAAAACCTACTATCCTCTCTCCAGTGCAAACCCTCTTCCTCCTGGTGGCCATGCCATCTATGGAGGCACTCTGGCCTACCGCATCCTTCTCATCTCACCTGACCTTCTCCCTCCATTCAGCAATTCACTCCCATGTCCATACCTAGGACTTCGCCATTTTCCAGAATTGTCCCATGTCTAAATATTTCAGTGGCCCTCTATCCTTCAAATATGGTCCTCTTCAGGACCAGCAGTTAGCGTAATGGCTATGTCACTGAACTCCCATGTAGTTAACTGTGGTTCAAGTCCTGGACCCGGTGGCTTATACTCACACCAGGAGCATGTGCGTGTGTGCCCAAGATCCCAAGAGGAGAATGGAGGAGAAGGGATTGTGGTGTGGCCACCCCCCCTGGGGGATGAGTTCTTGCTTTCTGTCTCTCTGTCTCTCTCTATCTCTCTGGCAAGCACACGTGCCCTGTAGCAAAAACCTCTCCAAAAAAAAGGTCCTCTTCCTCATATGTCCTGGAACCATTTTCTCAAACATCACCACATGGCTGCCTCCTTAAGCCCACATCACAGTTCATCTTTTTGTGTTTAATTCTTACCCCAAATAAATTATGATTCTTGAACTTGTCATTTTTTGAACTTAAAAAAAAAATGATTTTCAGTTCTTCAAAAATCCCAGCTAACTAAAGATTTCCAAATTCAGGCATTCAGGTTCATCTAAATGACCCTACGGCTGTGTCCACTTCTTAAACTATTAGTGGTTTTTACTGTGTCTAGTAAATTTAGCCAGACAGAGATGAGGATAAAGTTTTTTAGAAAGATATTAAGATAGAAAGGCTGAATTGAAAATACACTGAAGCCTTGAACCAACCAGGGCATGCGATTTCTAGTCATCCCAGGTCGTTAACAACTGACTGGAAATGGATTCTGGCTCCAAAGTCTTATTATTTGAGAAGCACTATGTGGTTTTAGGTGATAACAAAGATAATTTTAGTTCTTCACAAGCCTGAAACTTGGTATCTCACCTTCTTTATCCATTAGAAATCTCTTTCCTGTTTATGTTGCTAGATTTTTTATTTTTTTGGGGGGGGTGCCTTTTCTAAGGAAAATTGTTTTTATTCCCCATTTACTAAGGGAAACTGACTCAGATGCCATTGACTTAATTTCATAACAGTGTTACAATCGCTCCATTCTCAGTACCTAACGGAGGATCTGGGCCACAATAGACACTGGTCAAATATTTGCTTAAATGAACGGTGTTAATATTAACTCTGTTAACATTGCCAATTGTTTTGGTCAGTGCTTGATAGCTACTGAAAGAAGCAAGTGATGTAGTAATTTGGAGGGTTTTGGAGTCAGGCAGTCCCAGCTTGGCATTTCCACTGTGCAGTGTAATTAACAACGTGATCATAGGCGATGTACCCTCTCTGCGTCTTAGCTTTCTGAGATAGTGGATATAAGGCTCTCAGTGCAGTGTCCAGGCCAGTGTAAATAAATGTTCTCTTTTGTTTATCTTTGCTGCCATACTGATGCTTTCTTCTGCTTTTCCCTTTAGTTCGGTACCCGCTTCATTATAGAGGCCATGGAGACAGCAGGACATTCTATCAGTACACTTTTCTTGTGTGGAGGCCTGAGCAAAAATCCCCTCTTCGTGCAAATGCATGCAGACATTACTGGTAAGTCTGGGGTGGAAGACACAGCAGGTCATTTTAAGCTTGGCAACAAAATGAGCACAGCCAACTTCTGGTCAAAGTGGGAACAGGAAGATATAGGTGGTATGTCAAGTTATTAAGGTAACTATGAAGTCTTCATATTTATGATCAGGAAAGTGACTTCTCTATATCTCCAACTATTGAGTGATGGTGAGAGATGAGATGAGAGCAGCAAGGACTAGATATTAATCCAAGCATATATGTAAATGTTTGGAGTACCTCCCTGATCCAGGCACTGAGGGGAACATTGAAAATGCAGATTGAGTAAGATGTAAGGCTTTCCCCTGAGGAGCTCCAGGTCTGCTGAGGAAGGCAAACAGCAAATGGTCATGTTCCATGTGGTATGACAAGAACTCTGAGTGAGGAAAGCACTGAGTATGCTGGATACAGAGTGGGCACCTCACCCAGTTTGGACTTATGAAAGCTCAGAACATGTGGTCTGGAAGGAATGATAAGGAAGCTGTCATGAAGAAACAATACAGAGCCAAGATGCTCTGAGAGCTGGGGTCTGGCTACAGACTGAAGATTTGAGCCCTAAGACCCTAAGATCCTGTGATTCCTTCTCAGCTCATAAGAATCAGGAGTCATAATAGAGATGAAAGTCCAGAGGAATAGACTGAGCCCCTTGTGCTATGCGCAGACAATGGCAGAACAGCATCCTTCGTAGAACTCCCAGGCCTCAAGACGGGACCCGCTGATGGAAGGTCAGCTAGTGTCACAAAGGCTGGCTTGGACCTGCCCTCATTGTGGACCTGGTACCCTCAACCCACATGTTCTTTGCTTCCTCCTGGAGTTTGGTGTCCCCTCCCACAACCTATCCCTGGTGGCCCCTGGAAATGAGGGGCATTGGACCTTGTGAACAGTCCCTACTCCAGCCTGAAGTGTGCCCTCCTTACCTTGGCTTCCACTCATCATGACCCTGTGTTGGCCCCCACGCACCCCCCGCACTCTTTACCTCTGCCCTTCTCTCTGACTCATTGTATTGCCCTTTGCCCTCCAAGCCAGGCAGATTACTGCAGGTGAGAGCTTTCTCCAACACTGCGGACATAGCTGATTCCTGCACTTTGTGCACTTAACATAAGTTAATTAATACCCACTTCAGAGTGAAATAGACTGAGGCGTAAATCAGAGGACTTTATAGAGAAACACGGTCTCAAAGTAGATCTATGAGTAGGTGAAGTATAGAAAGACCTACCGTTAACCAAGCACATGTATCGTGTGTCAGTGGAAATCACTCTGGACACACTTATTTAATCCTCACATGCCTCCAAAAGATAGAAGTTGGTGCCCACAGCCTTATGGACAAGCAAACTGAGGACCAAGGAGGTGAATTAAATTGACTTTCCAAAGTCAAGGAGCCAGGTGAATCGACCCAGATTGTAACCAGGTATGTCTGGGCCCACTGTAACTTGGAATCTTGTATGACCCAGGATTCTTGACAGTCTGTCCAGTTTGTAATCATCTGAGGATAATCTCTCCTTCCCCGAGGTGCCAAAACCTACGGAAATAGGCCTTTCTGAAGCAGAAAATGATAAGGCACGAAAAGGAGCCCAGGTTACCTTTAAATTTTCCTCAGGAGAAAAAACAGTAACTTATCATTTCATCTGTGACTTTTCAATTTCCAGCTTTTTTTTCTTTTTTTAATTTGCTATAGAGCATGTGCACTTATCAGACCCTGGAAATGAGGGGCATTGGACCTTGTGAACAGTCCCTACTCCAGCCTGAAGTGTGCCCTCCTTACCTTGGCTTCCACTCATCATGACCCTGTGTTGGCCCCCACGCACCCCCCGCACTCTTTACCTCTGCCCTTCTCTCTGACTCATTGTATTGCCCTTTGCCCTCCAAGCCAGGCAGATTACTGCAGGTGAGAGCTTTCTCCAACACTGCGGACATAGCTGATTCCTGCACTTTGTGCACTTAACATAAGTTAATTAATACCCACTTCAGAGTGAAATAGACTGAGGCGTAAATCAGAGGACTTTATAGAGAAACACGGTCTCAAAGTAGATCTATGAGTAGGTGAAGTATAGAAAGACCTACCGTTAACCAAGCACATGTATCGTGTGTCAGTGGAAATCACTCTGGACACACTTATTTAATCCTCACATGCCTCCAAAAGATAGAAGTTGGTGCCCACAGCCTTATGGACAAGCAAACTGAGGACCAAGGAGGTGAATTAAATTGACTTTCCAAAGTCAAGGAGCCAGGTGAATCGACCCAGATTGTAACCAGGTATGTCTGGGCCCACTGTAACTTGGAATCTTGTATGACCCAGGATTCTTGACAGTCTGTCCAGTTTGTAATCATCTGAGGATAATCTCTCCTTCCCCGAGGTGCCAAAACCTACGGAAATAGGCCTTTCTGAAGCAGAAAATGATAAGGCACGAAAAGGAGCCCAGGTTACCTTTAAATTTTCCTCAGGAGAAAAAACAGTAACTTATCATTTCATCTGTGACTTTTCAATTTCCAGCTTTTTTTTCTTTTTTTAATTTGCTATAGAGCATGTGCACTTATCAGAGAGAGAGAAGGAAAATGAGAAAGAACCCCCACCCCGCCAGGGTAGATGGCTACAACTCAGTCCCCTCTCCTTCATTCTCCTTTTAGGAATTTAGACATACATGCACATGTGCCCTGCCTGTTTCTCAAGCCATGTGATCTAGGACTCAAACTACAAAGCTGCCCCAACCACCAACCATGGGCAGACCCCAATTTCCAGTCTTCCAATAGCCAAAAAGACTTCTCACCTGGATGTAGGAGGGAAGATGGAAGCCAGCTTTGTGCAACACATGACCAGAGGAAATAAGAGTGGAAAACAGGGCCCCCCAGGAGCAGGCAGCCCAGAGTGACCCTGGGCGCTGACTCGGCACTGCAACTCTGGCCTTTGTGTAAATGGGTCATCTTCCAGACCTCAGGTCCCTGCGCTGACTCAGAAGCAGGGGGTGCTGCAGCTTCACAGAAAGTTCTGTGGAAACTGTTCTTCTCTGAGCTATTGAATGAAAGGGCTGTTAATCGTTATTTGGATTTGGATTGAAACTGGACCCTTTGTCTGTAAGAATGAACCAGTTACAGTTCCAGACAAAGGGACCTTTTTTTGGCCTGGAATTCCTTTGCTTTTGGAAGCCTGTGACTGACAAGTGATGGCAAAGTGCATCTGCCTTCAAATGCCTTGGGTTCTGCTAAACTCATTAATGCATCAGATAAAATAGTTCACATTCCAGGCAAAGTGGCCTTCTTCCTCTCCTTCACCCAGCACTCAGAGAAAAGAACACATTTGCATTTGTCCCTGTGAAAAGCACATTCACAACCAGCTAGCATATAGGTAGTATCTTCGGTGCCTTTAAGCATTGTGGTTATGCTGGTTTTCCTACAAAGAAAGATTTAGAGAGGACCATTGACTGGGTACATGAATCTCAGGAATACATGTGAAAAATGCAACAGAATTTGGAAATTTTTGTTTTTAATTTGCTGTAGGGTATGTGCACTCACTGGAGAGGGAGAGAGACAGGGGTTGAGAGTGAAAAAGCACTCCTCCCTCCCCAAAAGGAATGGCCACCCCACCATCCCTTCTCCTACATTTTCCCCTTGGGATATTGGGCATGCATACACATGCACCTTACATATCTTCCAAGCCACTGGGTCTAAACCACACAGTTGAGGATGTGGAAACCAGCTGCCTTAACTATCACACCACTGGTTGGCCCAGATTTTGAAGATTTTTTTTCTTTTCTTTTTTTTTTTTTTTTTGAGAGGTTTTTGCCATAGGGTGCATGCGCTCATCAGACAGACAGAGAGAGGCAGAGAAACAGAAAGCGATAAATCACCCCCCCCAGGAATCCCTTCTCCTCCATTCTCCTCTCGGGATCTTGGGCACACACGCACATGTGCCTGGCATGAGTTTTAAGCCACCAGGTGTAGGACTCGAACCGTGGTTGACTACATGGGAGTCCAGCAACATAGCCATTATGCTAACTGCTGGTCCCAGAATTTGAAAATTCTTTAGCAGGAGACCAGCACTATGACTTTGGGCAAGTTACTTTAGCCCTCTGTGCCTCAGTTCCTTCTTATGGAATGCAGAAATAGTGGGTTGTCAGGAAAGTCATGACATTCTTTTGCATGGAAAACCATAGAAAAATATGTCATGAGTTTTCTGACAACCTAATATTTTCATGTCCTACATGTAGATCATGCTATGGAATGAATGTTCTCATGAGTTTGTGAGCGCAAGGCAGTGTGCCTGGCTCAGAGTACGTGATCGATAAACCGTAGCTCCCTTCCTCTCTCCAGGCAGTCCCATGCCAAAAAGAAGTAGGCATGTTCAAGAAAAAAAGCTGTTTAATTTGTAGGTGAACTTTTTCCATGTGGGGAACAGCCTGCTCTATGCAAGCAAGGAAAGTGGGGCTTTGCCAACTTGCAAGAAGTCGTCTACGTGAGCAGGAAGAACCTCCTTGTATCCCAGCCATTTAGCTAACTGTGGTTTCAAGAAATACTTGGTGTGTGCTAAGTAATTGTAGGTTTCCCCCACTGACTGGGGACTGAATGTTCTTTCTGCTAAATTTTGTTTTTTAGTACTGGCAGTTTCAGTAGGGGTTTCCCTCTTCCTGTCTTACTCATCATTTTAATCATTCATTCGTTCATTTATTCACTGGAAAGCATTCTCTGAGCATATCCGCCATCCACAGGCCAGGCATTAGCATGGAGATATAAAGAACAGCTATGCCCTACCAGGAGGTTTATTATAAAACACAGAACATGTCCTTGAACCTTCAACCGAGGTGAGCAGAGTAGAGTGGGGACCCAGACGACAGAGTCAGTGTCAATCAGGTCCAGACCGGAACCGGTTCACATCCAAATTGGGTTACCAGAAGAAAGTTGAACAAGGGGTCAATTTACAGGTGTGGAGCAGGTCCTAGGGAGACCCAGGCAACCAGAAAGTGCCCTGGGACTGCAAATAGTGTTTCCCTCCCTGGGATTTCGTGGTGAGCGCAGGGAGTGGTACCTAGCCTAAGACTGAGGGGCTATATGAAGAGGGCCTCCCAGCATGAGCTTGGTCAAGGATGTAGATAGAGGACAAGGGGCCAGGTTCTGGTCCACATGGGCCTGTCTCTAGATCTTAGAGCAGGGTGAGGGTGGGAAGAAGTGGGATTAGTCTGAGGGGCAAATAAAAGCAGTAGATTGGTTCCACCCAGAGAATTAGGGCTGAGGAGAGACTTAAGAGAATAGGAAAGTTTTTAGAATCAAAACAGCTGATACAAGTTGCTGCATTCTCTAAACTAAGCACCACTTTACGTGCTATCCTTACATCTTTTAATCCTCACAGCAACCTGATGAGGTGGGAAGAATTTTAACTCTATGGTGCAGATGAGAAAACTGAGGCACAGACAGGTTAGGTACCTTGCTAGGCCGTGGCAGCCTGGCTCCAAAGTGCTTTGGGCAGCGTTTTGAGAGCTGATGGAGTATTCCAGGTTCTGGCTTCTGGTTTCCAAGGAAAGAGACCTTGTGAGTGGTTCCCCTGCTCAGAACTAAGAAAGTTCTTGGCAGGCTCCGAAGGGACTGGGAGGCAAATGGCATTCGGAAGTACTGTCTTCTAAAAGGCCTACGTCCATGGGGAAATCTAGTTGGTCACAGTCACACTCTCATCCACAAGGTCCCTGAGATCCTAAGGAGGTTTGCAGTGCCCCTTATGACTGGACTGACACAGCCTATCAGTGTGACTGAGTGTCTGTCCTTCATCTGGGCATGGCTGATGGGAACCTGCCCTGTTCTCCCCCACTATTCCACTTTCCAGCCCATGAGGTGCATGAAGAGAGGCTTCATTCACCATCAGTATGAATCCAAGTAGTAGGAACCACCATATCTCCAGGGTGGACCGTAGGCTGGGAACATGCCGGGTACCACATACGTACTCTCATTTATATCCTCACAACACACCTGCGTGGGAAGTCTTAAGATTGTGCCCATTTTGCACATGGGGAAACCAAAGCTAAAAGAGTTTAAGTGATTTGCTGAAGGATACAGAACTACTGGAACCAGGAAGCAAACCCAGGCACCAACTGTTCCCAGGGGCTCCCCTCCACCTGACACCTTGTCACCAAGTCTCAAGCCATGGCTCTGCAGTTTGAGGGCTGATATTTCCGAGTCCTCCAGGACATGTATGGGAATTCTATTCCCTATACCCTTGTTTCTGGGGGTGGCCGAGACAGCTGACCTAGCTGACCCTACTCTGGAGGAAGGAAATGAGTTAGGTTGCAAACAAGCAAGGAGAAGAAATGCAATCTTTGGAAATAACTCTTTTTGTCTTGAGTAGAGAAAGATTTTATGCCACAGAGTTTATTAATGTCTGTGGAGTTTGCTGCCATCTCCTGATTAGCAGATTGATGTTTAAGTTACAGTTTCAAGAATTCTAAATTATTTCTAATACCCTTAAATATGCCATAATCCCTCAAGTCCTGGGAGCTGGCATGTGGAGGACTTCTCCCTATCCAGTGTGCCCATGCTCACCTTCAGACACCTGCTAGAGCCTCATCTCCACTGTGATGATCACTCCCTTTCACACACTGGAAATTCATTCTTTCATAAGTTAATCACCTACTGTGTGCTCAGTACTGGTCTAAATACCCAGGATACAGTAGAGGACAAAACAGAGTCCCACCACTCCTGGAGCTTTAGCTCTAGCAGAGAGAATAGGCACTGAACAAGGTAAGTAGGTAAAATAGGGAAGGGGTTCAGGGGTATTGAGGGTAAGTGATGATTTTAAATCTAGTGGTCAGGCAGTGCTCAATGGGATGGTGATATTTGCACAAAGACAGGAAGGAACGGGAGGCAGTTACCACATGGGCATCTGGGAGGAAGTACCCCAGAGGAGGACTAGCTCAAGCAAGGGCCCTGAAGCAAACCCAAGAAAAGGCAAGGAATCCAGGGCCATGGAGCTGGGCAGAGACGAGGAGACTGGAAAGGGAAGAGGGACCAGGTCCCGGTGGCAGGACCCTGTATTCTGAATTCTGAGAGGTGGAAAAGTGCTGGAAGGATGAATGCCACCCTCTTACCACTTTGATCTTCGTAGTACATCTCGGAGAACCAGCCCCTGTAGGACCGTTCTCTCTTAATCATCTGTCTCCCCTTTGTGTCGACACAGTCTGATTCATCTCAGTGTTTCTTGGACCCAGCAAAGTAGTCAATTAGTATTCGTTGAGCTGAACTTGAACTAAATGGCAGCTAGCAGCTTAATAGGAACCTGGAAAACCCAGGTCTCATGAGTGATCTATATGGTGTTGGCTCCCTTGGGGCTGTTGGCTGCTGCCCCAGCTGACACAGGCATTGAAATACTTTAAACCAGGTAATCCCAAGGAACTGAGAATGGTAGGGGGCAGAAAGGGGGCTCTTGCTGCAGCCTTAACTTCAGGCATTTTGGCTACTAGCACTGCTTGCTGACTTTCCACCCTGTCCTGGCCCTGCTCTCTAACCAAGGTGTGGCTTTGTCCTGCGCAGGCATGCCTGTGGTCTTGTCACAAGAGGTGGAGTCTGTTCTCCTGGGTGCTGCTATTCTGGGTGCCTGTGCCTCGGGGGATTTCGCTTCTGTACAGGTATGTGAGGACCAAGGGGCGGGCCACAGCCCCTCCCCTGTCTGAGTTTGTGCTTCCTCTTGACAGCAGCTCACATCTTGCAAAACACACACAGGATATAATTAAGAAATGATAGGTTCCAGCCAGGGAAAGCACAAACACTTCTGGCCTCAGACATATTTATTGCAATTTTCATTTGACTTGGCCTCTGTTAGTGTTGGTCAATCTGGTTTGTTTTGTTGTGTTCTTTTTCTCCTGCGAAATTGCTCTTAAATTATTTCTTTTAAATTTCCCCTTGACCATGTTTCTTTGAGCAAGTAAGACAGGTAAGGCTCAACGCTTAATGTTTCATATATCTTTCAGATTTTTATTTGCTTATTACAGCTCTATCACCTTCCAAATTCCTTTGTAGCCTCTATCAACAAGGAACACAAATGAGAATGTTAGTTAAGAAAAAAAAGATAATAAAAAAAGGAATTAAAAGGAAAAATAAGGAACAAAGATATAGGAAGAAGGAAACAATTTGGTGGCAGTGCTTGAGTACATAATGAGCTTCCTGGCAGCCAAGACAAAAAAGAACACATGATAAGTTGTGTAATTCTTATTTTCAAAAAGAGGAAACATTCTAGTTTCTGCTGAGAGACCAAACTGCAAAAGAAATTACACACATGGAACTTTGTAGAGAAGCTTCGAGTGTTTAAATAACCCAAAAGGTAAGGAATGAGTATAGTGGAGAGGCTAAATCATAGGCACTGAGGTTAGACCACCTGAGCTCAAATTCTAACTTGACTACCCATTAACTCTTGTGGCCTAGCTGTTTTGCTCCACACCTCCATATCTGTCATCATTATCAGTGGGAAGTTAAGAGTTCTTTCTATGGGTCAGATTGTACCCATTTACTTCCAACAAAAATCTATTACCCCACTTTATAGTTGAGGAAATGAAGGAAGAAAGAACTTGAATAACTTGGCCTAAGGGGAAATAGCTAGTAAATGCCGAAACCAAAAAGTCTGGCTTCCAGGACTCAACTAGGGATGCAAGGTATATTTGTTCAGCTGAGAATCAGAGCTTAAGTGACTTGCCCAAGGTCTCAAGGTTTAGACTGAAAGCCAAGCTTTCCACCAGTAGCCCAGTATAAATACTCTAATTACTGTGACCCTCATATAATGCCAGGTACTATACTAGGTGCTTTTTATGTAATCTTTATCTTTATAGCCCCCTCTTCCGGGGCCATCCATGGGCTACATAGATCCAAAAAACTTATGAAACATAAGGATATACTGTTAGAGAGATGCAAAAGTGTGATCCCCAAATCTTTATACAATATTTTGTATACTACATAGCCGAAACCCTCAAGAATTGATGACCATGAAATGAATACCTTTCCTAAGGAATTGAATCTACTCATGAATACTTGTGGATTTTAATTGAAGTCTTTAAACAAAAACGATACAGTTGAAGAATTTCTAACTTTTTTTTATGAATTGTCTGGTTGGTACTCTCTCCAAAATTGAGGTATTTATTGTTGAAATGTTCATGGGTCCTCAGTTACTATTTTAACGAATCAGTTTACAAAGATGTTATCACAACTAGATGACTTTCTCTTCCTGCGGTAAATTATAATAGATGAAACAAACAATGGTAAAGGTACTTCCTAAGGCCCTGTCCAGGTTATCTCATGTTATGAACTGAAAGTTTGTGTCTCCCCAAAAGTCATAAGTTGATACCCCTCCAGCATGATGGTATTTGGAGATGGGGCTTTGAGAAGTCAGTAGACACAGATGAGTTCATAAGGGCAGGGCCCTGGTCTGCTGGACTACACACCGGAGAGCTTGCTGTTGTCTCTCTCCACCATGTGAGGACATACAAGAAGTCAGCTATCGGCAAGCCAAAAGAGGGCTCTCACCAGAACACAGTAGTGCTGGCACCTGATGTCAGACTTCGAGCTTCCTGAACTGTGAGAAAATACACTTATGTTGTTTACGCAGCCGGTCTATGGTATTTCATTATGTCAGTTCGAGCAGACCAAGACACCTCATTTAATCTTGATGATTTCCCTGCTTGCAGAGTAGATGGCTTTATACTTGTCTTACATATGAGGAAACCAAAGGTCAGAGAGATCTCAAGTAATTCATCCAAAGCTACAAAGTTAGTAAAGGCAAACGCAGAACCAAAACAAAGGTCAGTCTGGATCTATTTCCTTTCCTTTTTCTTATTCCTTTTCTAAGGTGTTCTATTTTTCTTTCTTTTTCAATTAAAAATGATATTGCGCATCATTAATGTTCAAAGTTATATTTTCTGAAAAGTAATGCTATTGGTCACAAATCAGGAGATAGTCCACAGCCCAAACTAAACCAGGCCTGCTCCATCAGATACGACTTTCCACCCTGTCCTGGCCCTGCTCTCTAACCAAGGTGTGGCTTTGTCCTGCGCAGGCATGCCTGTGGTCTTGTCACAAGAGGTGGAGTCTGTTCTCCTGGGTGCTGCTATTCTGGGTGCCTGTGCCTCGGGGGATTTCGCTTCTGTACAGGTATGTGAGGACCAAGGGGCGGGCCACAGCCCCTCCCCTGTCTGAGTTTGTGCTTCCTCTTGACAGCAGCTCACATCTTGCAAAACACACACAGGATATAATTAAGAAATGATAGGTTCCAGCCAGGGAAAGCACAAACACTTCTGGCCTCAGACATATTTATTGCAATTTTCATTTGACTTGGCCTCTGTTAGTGTTGGTCAATCTGGTTTGTTTTGTTGTGTTCTTTTTCTCCTGCGAAATTGCTCTTAAATTATTTCTTTTAAATTTCCCCTTGACCATGTTTCTTTGAGCAAGTAAGACAGGTAAGGCTCAACGCTTAATGTTTCATATATCTTTCAGATTTTTATTTGCTTATTACAGCTCTATCACCTTCCAAATTCCTTTGTAGCCTCTATCAACAAGGAACACAAATGAGAATGTTAGTTAAGAAAAAAAAGATAATAAAAAAAGGAATTAAAAGGAAAAATAAGGAACAAAGATATAGGAAGAAGGAAACAATTTGGTGGCAGTGCTTGAGTACATAATGAGCTTCCTGGCAGCCAAGACAAAAAAGAACACATGATAAGTTGTGTAATTCTTATTTTCAAAAAGAGGAAACATTCTAGTTTCTGCTGAGAGACCAAACTGCAAAAGAAATTACACACATGGAACTTTGTAGAGAAGCTTCGAGTGTTTAAATAACCCAAAAGGTAAGGAATGAGTATAGTGGAGAGGCTAAATCATAGGCACTGAGGTTAGACCACCTGAGCTCAAATTCTAACTTGACTACCCATTAACTCTTGTGGCCTAGCTGTTTTGCTCCACACCTCCATATCTGTCATCATTATCAGTGGGAAGTTAAGAGTTCTTTCTATGGGTCAGATTGTACCCATTTACTTCCAACAAAAATCTATTACCCCACTTTATAGTTGAGGAAATGAAGGAAGAAAGAACTTGAATAACTTGGCCTAAGGGGAAATAGCTAGTAAATGCCGAAACCAAAAAGTCTGGCTTCCAGGACTCAACTAGGGATGCAAGGTATCAGAGCTTAAGCGACTTGCCCAAGGTCTCAAGGTTTAGACTGAAAGCCAAGCTTTCCACCAGTAGCCCAGTATAAATACTCTAATTACTGTGACCCTCATATAATGCCAGGTACTATACTAGGTGCTTTTTATGTAATCTTTATCTTTATAGCCCCCTCTTCCGGGGCCATCCATGGGCTACATAGATCCAAAAAACTTATGAAACATAAGGATATACTGTTAGAGAGATGCAAAAGTGTGATCCCCAAATCTTTATACAATATTTTGTATACTACATAGCCGAAACCCTCAAGAATTGATGACCATGAAATGAATACCTTTCCTAAGGAATTGAATCTACTCATGAATACTTGTGGATTTTAATTGAAGTCTTTAAACAAAAACGATACAGTTGAAGAATTTCTAACTTTTTTTTATGAATTGTCTGGTTGGTACTCTCTCCAAAATTGAGGTATTTATTGTTGAAATGTTCATGGGTCCTCAGTTACTATTTTAACGAATCAGTTTACAAAGATGTTATCACAACTAGATGACTTTCTCTTCCTGCGGTAAATTATAATAGATGAAACAAACAATGGTAAAGGTACTTCCTAAGGCCCTGTCCAGGTTATCTCATGTTATGAACTGAAAGTTTGTGTCTCCCCAAAAGTCATAAGTTGATACCCCTCCAGCATGATGGTATTTGGAGATGGGGCTTTGAGAAGTCAGTAGACACAGATGAGTTCATAAGGGCAGGGCCCTGGTCTGCTGGACTACACACCGGAGAGCTTGCTGTTGTCTCTCTCCACCATGTGAGGACATACAAGAAGTCAGCTATCGGCAAGCCAAAAGAGGGCTCTCACCAGAACACAGTAGTGCTGGCACCTGATGTCAGACTTCGAGCTTCCTGAACTGTGAGAAAATACACTTATGTTGTTTACGCAGCCGGTCTATGGTATTTCATTATGTCAGTTCGAGCAGACCAAGACACCTCATTTAATCTTGATGATTTCCCTGCTTGCAGAGTAGATGGCTTTATACTTGTCTTACATATGAGGAAACCAAAGGTCAGAGAGATCTCAAGTAATTCATCCAAAGCTACAAAGTTAGTAAAGGCAAACGCAGAACCAAAACAAAGGTCAGTCTGGATCTATTTCCTTTCCTTTTTCTTATTCCTTTTCTAAGGTGTTCTATTTTTCTTTCTTTTTCAATTAAAAATGATATTGCGCATCATTAATGTTCAAAGTTATATTTTCTGAAAAGTAATGCTATTGGTCACAAATCAGGAGATAGTCCACAGCCCAAACTAAACCAGGCCTGCTCCATCAGATACTTCATACCATAATTTATGGCACCTCATTAATAAGTATATTAGTCAAAACCAGAGTTTCTAGCTCCAAGTGAATTCCACTCACATCCTCCCCTAATCTGAAACTGATCTTAATCCCAAAAGACATCTTTGTTATGTGTGATCTGCCCTTAATCTT